AGGTGCATCCACCGCCCCAATATAGGTTGAATCGAGCGTCCTCCCGTGTCTGTCATGAGTGCCCTCCCACGTCTGTCAGTGTCCTCCCATGAGGAGGTAATGATGGCTCAACGTCCATAGAACTAGCTAACCCACTCGGAGTGGGTGAGCCAGTTCCACGGAAAAGAGGGAGGGTAGGGGGCGTTCTAATCGAGATTTGCCCATTTAATGTCCATTTTCGTAGAAGGACATACGGTTGAAAAATGCTTTCCACAAAAGCCACAGATGGATGCACAGCTTTCTCTTCCAGCGTAGCGTTCACACAACGTTGCACGTGGTTGAAAGCTCAATCTAGAGCTAGCTACACATTGTGTAGGTGGGACATGGCCCCCTGACATCACAATCATCGATGTACTTTGTTCTTCCCCCTTTTTTTTTTTTTTTTTTTTTTTTTTTTTTTTTTTGACATTGGGCAACCGGGCCCACAGAGCCCGAAAATGAGAATTTTTCATTGTCATTTTCATTTTCTTGGATGCAAGCCTCGATAGGACCCCCTGAAAACTGGGGACTGCCAGTTTTGCCATTTTTCCCAACAGTGGGCGAGGTAGTGCTTGTTTAAAGGGCGACGGTCTTTGAGATATCATCGTCGAGTTGACTGGGCCCAGGTAATTCAGAATTATGTCATTGCATTCATCGACGTTCATCAGGATTCGAACTTGGATCTGTGTAATTCAAAGGTTCATGGGTGTACCAACTGAGCTGGGCTCGTTGGTAGTTTGTTTGGTACCTGGACTGGTTTCGAGTAGAGGTTCAGTCGTTCTCACGCTACGGTGATTAGCTCTACTGGATGGTGCGATTCAAGTCCCGCTTCACCTAGCGACAAAAGATAAATCCTATAATATTCTTCCTCTTCTGCACATAAGTGTTCTGATCCTGTTAATTGTTTATATTCATTTTTATGTAATTTAAAAAAAGGGCTTTCAATAAATCCATTTTGATTAATATTTGCCAAAATCGCTAACGAGGAAACCAGACCATTATGACAAAAACCGAAGAAGAAGCCCCGGCTATAACTCCGTGCCAGCAGCCGCGGTAAGACGGGGGGGGCAAGTCGGAATGACTAGGCGTAAAGGGCACGTAGGCGATAGCCAATAGACTACCCATAGCACATTTGACATATCCATCGTGTGCTTTCACATGTTAAAGGGGACCTTACCGAAATTGATTGTAACTTGGAAGAAAGTAATCGAATTGCTAGATCAAGCGATATATTTTGATTTCGACTGGCAATGCAACAATCATCTTTTACTATATAGTCTGCTAGAATACGACCAATTAATTTTTGTTGCACATATAGATAGATATTCATTTTAGATTCTTCCAGAAAAGGTTGAATTGAAATACACTTATTAGTTTTACAATCAGTTTTCCGCACTAGGCAATCGAAATCACATCAATGATAGAGATTATTGATGTGATTTCAATTGTCTCCTTGTCAGAGGACAATACCGTACCTTGCAAATAGTATTGTAGCTATCTCTTGAGAGAAGAAAGATCAGCATGAAATTTTGATAAACACTGTAGTTCCATAAATACCTCATCTAGGTAATCTCGAGATTGTGAAATCAGTCTTGCAAATTCACACTCAAACATGCATGCAACAGATGAGAATA